GGAAATAGTAGATTCAGTGGATATCTATCTCAGTCTGCTTCGAAATATCTTTGACTTTAACGCAATCAGAAGCTTGCTGACTGGACCCAGTCAACTTAAGATAAGGATTGACGCTATGAATGGAGGTATGACTTGTGCAGTTGGCAAGTAAAATTATAACATGCCCCAAACAATAAACTCTCTCTAACCATCAGAGGAGTGAGATTATGGAACTGTCTCTTTTATAAGATTACTTGGGGTAAAAACTTAACTACAGCAAAAGCTTTGTTATCCAGCACCCATGGGGAATGGGGGGTGCTGGATAACAAAATATGCCAGTTAACTGAGAGGCCTGAACAGGTGTCTTTGCCTGTTCAGGCTGCCGCCCCTCCTGCCGCATCGCCACCCATCCTGAGGGACAGAGAGGCGGGCCCCGCTCAGGCTGCTATGCCCCGGGTTGTAGGGGATCAGCAGTGCAGGCTGCTTTGCCTCGGACTGTGGGGGCTTGGCAAAACCAGAAGTGCCACGGTGGGCACTTCCGGTTTTCCTTTTACCTTGCAAGCCGGCAAGCCAGTTAAAAGAGCATGCCGACCTGTAAGGTGCCAGTCAAGGCAGCTTTTACTGTACTTCTAAGATTAAGCCTGATCAGTTCATGGGAAGGAATTGTATGACATGGGGACAGAGGACTGGACTTGTACCCTAGAGTTCCTTTCTAGTTCCTTGTACCTAAGATTCATTCTTTGGAACAAAGTGTTTGATATTCATGACGTTGATTTTGATGGCAGTTCTGAGGAGAAAGAAAGTAGTTCAGGATTTGGACTACTGTAGCAAAAACTAATAGAATAGAAATAAAACATCCCTATGCATATTAGAGGGAGAGCACTTGTTAAACATCTAGGAGTATGTTGAATAAAACGGGTAAATTAACTATGGTGTAGTAATAAATTATTGCATGCTGTTTTAAATTTGCTAGAAACCTGTTTATGGTTGAAAACTAACAACATAAAGACATTTAATACATAATTAGAAAAAGAGAAATATACTTTGTATATGGGGTAAATTTGGCTATATACCACAAGATACATATTTTGGGAAGTGTTAATAGTATAGCAGTAGCATTGCATCAGCAATAAGATCACATCATAAGAAATATCTATAAGGGGTGGTAAATCTATGAGGGAAAAAGTCCATAACTTAAGGACAATAAGAAGTATTTTTTCAAAGTATGTTAAGAACAAAACAACTCCTAAAGTAATGGTATAGGCCAGGGGTTTTCAACCTTTTCTGGTTGGTGTACCTCCGGTGGCTGGTCAAGAAGCAGGGAGTCTCCTGAAACCAGAAGCACTGCCAGTGAGACTGGAAGTGGCCCTGCTTATCCATGTTGCTGCTGCCCAGGGACCCCCAGGGACCTTCCCAAGTACCCCCAGGGGTACGTGTACACCTGGCTGACAATCCGTGGTATAGGCCTAGTAATTAATAAGAAGCTAACATTTCATGATACAGAAAAAGGCAGAAGTGTTTAATAAATATTTCTCTCCCATATCTTGAAAGAAGCAACAAGATATATTCTGGTAAAGGATGAAGAAATGCTTTCTAGCTTATAGTAAATGATGAGGTTGTTAGATGACATCTATTAGAGATGATTTTTAAATGAGGCCTTTAAATCAAGAGCTCTAAAGGAGTTGGCTGTCAAGTAGGTGTGCACCAACAGATTTTTTTTGGGCCAATACTGATGGCCGATTTTTTTAGAAAGCCATATTGGCTAATACCGATCTGATTACTGATATGTGACCCAGCAGCTTGGAGAGCAGTGTCCGGCTAGTAAGTCTGTTGAGGGGGAAGGGATGTGGCCAGGGGGCAGACCAAGGTCCCTGCGGTGAGGGAGGGAGGGAGTGGACTGGAGCTGGGGCAGGGGCAGGAGCTGCATACCCAGGGTGGGGTGTGGGATGGAGCCGTGGCTTCTCTGGTGGGCGCAGGCAGGAGGGGGTGGTTCCTGCTGCTGCTGCACGCACCTTAGAAGGGGATGGGGGCGTGTGCTCTCTGGATCTGTGTGTGGGGTAAGGGCAGGCTGCCGCTGTGGGCTGGGGCCAGGGGCAGTGCCGGGCTCTTCCTAGCAGGGGGGCTGGGCTGGGCTGGGCTTCACTTGGTGTAGACAGCGGCAGTGCTGCTACGGGGGGGCACTGTGGTGAATTTTGGGGTGGCTGCAGCACACTCAGTAGCTCCCCCCCAAAGCCACCACTGCCCAGCCTGAGTGCAGTCTCCAGCCCAATCCCCCTGCTAGGAAGAGCCCGGTGCTGTCCCTGGCCCCAGGCTGCAGCGGCAGCCTGCCCTTGCCCCGTGTGGAGATCCAGGGGGCCCATGCCCCCCATGTCCTCCTGGGGTGCATGAAGTGGCAGGGGGCGTATCCCCCAGATGAGCTGCTTGCAGCTTCATCCCGTGCCTTGACTCATGCCAGCTATGTAGCACCTGCCCTTGCCCCAGTGCCAACCCCACTCCCTCCTTCACCACATGGGCCTTGGTCTGGCCCCCCGTACCTCTTTGTTCCCCCACAGTCCTTCCCCCACAACAGACTTACCAGCCTGACACTGCTCTGCACACTGCCAGTTTGTGCTCCTGGCTGCCTGCATGCTGCACTGCAGCTGCGCGCGCACACACAGCATTTATTGGTGACATTATTGTCCACGTCAGCCAAAAAAAGCCGATTGCTGATAATGTCGATTCCTTTTATCAGTGCTGATACGATATGGGACCAATGTATTGGTGCACGTCTCCTGTCCAATCAGGCTCAGTGTGCTGCACATGAATAAACTCCAAAGCAATATATGCCAGAGTGTTTTGCTTCCAGGCACACGTTCAAATGGGGTGCCTGGAAGCAACTGGAACAATAAGCTCTGGAGTTTATTCATGCACATTTATTGCACATGTGGACATGCCCATAAAGAGCAAAATCAGTTGATTTTTATTATAAAGAAGATGGAGAAGTGATGTATTTAGAGTATGTAGATACCTCTATGTAGAGAAAATATTATATACTGAAGGGTTCATTTATATAGTAGGAGAAGGCATAAAAAGAACTAATCCTATATCAGGATTGCAAATGGTCATTACTACCAATAGCTAGTAAGTCTTCTATGTGAAATATGCTGCTGGTTTTAATCAGCTTTCTTAATATACAGATGTAGTCTTGACAAACTCCCTATTACAATTTATACTTTTTTGTCCTGAGGTTGACCATTTTAATAGTGGATATGGGAATGGGACATCCGTTTCAAATTTGAATTGAAGTTGCTCAGAGATGTTCAGTCTGACACTGCAAATGAGCACCAGCCCTAAAAGAGAGAGGATTTTTTGAGAAGGGAAATCGTGAAGCAGAAGTTTGAAAAATGATCTGTGCAAAACAGTTTTTAAGTAATACTATGCTGATCACAGATTATATTCCTAACATCTCCATTGGTACTTGATAATCCTTCCCTGGGGCTTAATGGAAAGGGATTGGATAGTAATATTTAAATAATACCTTAAGAAATGTTTTAAATACAAAATTAAGTTGAGGAATGAAGGATTGAGATTCCCATGTCCCTTATGGCACTCGTAACATTTAAATTACAGTATGACCATCTACATGAATAATTAAATATAATAAAGGTATGTCCACTCCAGGAAAAGGTATCTTTTTTTCTTTACTACCTATTGGGCACATCTACACAAGACGTTTACTGTGCAGTTGACTGATTAGCTGCATAGCAAACGTCTCGCATCTACATACGTGCATGCATTAGGCTGGAGTAAAGTATTTACTTGTAAATAGTACTGTCCTTCTGTGGAGTAAAGAACTCTTCAGCAGTGCATGTGTAGATGCTAGAAGGGTTGGCTGGGGTATGAGGGTACTTCAGTTGCGGGGGTTGCCTGCTGGCTAGCCTCGTGCTGAAGCAGCCTTGTGCCCAGCCAGTCCCTCGGCAGCATGTTGAGCTGAGGAGAGCAGCCCCAGGCTGGCAGGCTGACCCCCTGGGCCCCCTGCCAGCTGGGGTTGCTGCGCCCCAGCTCAACATGCTGTGATCCTGGTCGCACGTGCAGATGCGTGTCTGGCTTGAATAAGCTCTGGAGCAATAAGCTCTTGACTTTATTCAAGTGCATTAATAGGCACGTGTAGATACGCCCATTATATGGTAACTAACATGTGTGCTAGGTTCCTTGGATAGACAAGGCAGTTGTAGTTTCAACATGTGGCAGGTCAACACAGAACATCAACAGCCTTGATAATGCTGTGATGTTATCACCCATTAGTTAGTGCCTCTTTTATCTATTGCAAAAAAGATTTCCTGTAGTGGTAGGGTCACAGAAAGGGTAACAGCCTGCTGCTATTCCCAAGTGACAAAGTTACTTTTTAGTTTATATGGTAGGGACTTTGCTTTTAATGCTGATTCCACAGACAGTGGGGGTCACCACAATAGATAGTGGGGGTCACCACAATAAATATCATATTTACTTCATATAATACACACAGAATAAAATTTACACCTTGTTTTTGAGAGGCAGGATGAAATAAAAACTTTTTTTTCCAGAGTGATGGCTACGTAGGGCATGGGCAGAATCTAATCTTCAGTTTATTCATCCTCTTTCCTGCTTACCTAAAACTTGAAACTTTACCAGTTGCTGAATATAAGTCTCCATGGGTGGATCTATGATTTGGAAAATGCTAAAAAGTCTTCAGGGCTGTGAAGTAGGAGAAAAGAGACCAATAGCAGCTAGAAGAGAGCAAAAAATGCTCTACTAAAGATTAAATTGATTAGTGGAACATTGAGGCTATTAAGAGGAGAAACGCTTGTTAACACACTGGAGAAGTGAAGAACAGTGAGCTATTAGGTCAGCTGATTCCCTCAGCTACTTCCACTGCATTCTGGAGCAGGAATCAAATCAGGGAGAAAATTAACTTTGTCGCTTAAGACACGCACCCCTATTTTGGGGGAAGTTGCATGCAGTCTATGAGTAAATATATTTGTTTTTTTCTCTTTAGTTGTAATGAGAGAAATCTGGTTGTAATATAAACCCAGCCATTAAGCTTCTTATTAAGTTTCCATTCTATTGAAAAGTCTGAATTTTAACTATGTATGCTCGTGAAACTGAATGGAAAAATTCTTTTGTAGTAATGGGACCCTATGTGAGGAAAATCCTGTGTGATGAATTAGGAGCACCTGCAAATTCTGCAATAAACTGTATTCCTCTGGAGGATTTTGGTGGGCATCCTCCTGACCCAAACTTAACATATGCAACTACCTTGCTGGAGGCTATGAGAGGAGGGGAATATGGATTTGGAGCTGCCTTTGACGCAGATGGAGTAAGTATTTGGCCAATCTTGGTTTTTCATCAAATGACATCATCTTTATTGATTATTATTTATTTATTAATTCCCTGATTCTGAGGGTAGTTACCATATTTACTCAAGTCTAAGAGCACACTGAATAAAAGACAATCCACCAATAATTAGATTATGTATATGGAAAAATGATAAATTTGCTATTATTTTCCATGGTTGGAATCTAATTATTGGAGGGTTGTCTTTAATTCATCCCCTCTACTGCTGCAGGGGAGCTGGCAGTGGGGGG